ATATATCCAGGTTTTGTGATCATTAGTTGTAGTTTTTTTATCGATTGATATTTTTTAATTATATGTAAAAATCATATATTGGTAATTTTATATGTAGAATCCATTTTAGAAAATAATGGTAAGAGTGATAATCATGACAGTGATTATGAGAGTGAAATAATCAACACAAAATATTAAGGAATATATATATATATATATATATATATATATATATATATATATATATATATATATATTTATATATGTATGTATGTATACAGACACACTCATGTATAGAGAGAGAGGGATCCTTTCTTTGGTAGCATATATTAAAACAGGAATTGCAAGAGAATGCATATGAGTGTATTTATACATACATATATATCCACATATATACAGGAATATAGAGAGCGAGACAGAGAGATAGATAGAGAGAGAGAGATTATTTTTAGTGGAACATTTATATATATTATATATATATATATAATATATATATATATATATATATATATATATATATATATATATATATATATATATGTGTGTGTGTGTGTGTGTGTGTGTGAGTATGTATGTATGTATGTATATATACATATATGTACATATATATAGATATGAATGTTTATATATATTTAGACATACATGTGTGTTTCAATATACAGTGTGTATATATGTGTGTGTGTGTAGTATATATATATATATATATATATATATATATATATATATATATATATATATATATATATATATATAAAGTTAGAGAGATATAAATAAATAAAAAAGTGTACACGCATATACATAGATAAATATGTATATATACATATATATTGTACACAAGCACACACACACACATATATATGTATATATATACATACACGAATGTGTATATATGTACATATATATATATATATATATATATATATATATATATATAATTATATAATATATATATATATATATAATATATAAAACACAAGCACAAACACAATAACGTGTACACAAAACTGAAAATGAAAGTAGCCACAATGAAAATTGGAAATAAGCGCAAATACGCTGATTTTCAATTCTCATTGCGGCTAGTTTCATTTTCATATATATATATATATATATATATATATATATATATATTATATATATATATATATATATATATATATGCGTTTATCTGCGTATATTTACATATGTATGCATATGTTTTTTTACAAATATAGATTTATCTTTTTATTCATTTGTCTATTTATTCATATATGCTCATGTATGTTGTATACCTATCTATATGTAAGCAATCATACACACACACACACAAAAGCATATATATAAATATATATATATATATATATATATATATATATATATATGTGTGTGTGTGTGTGTGTGTGTGTGTGTGTGTGTGTGGTGTGTGTGTGTGTGTGTGTGTGTGTATGTATGTATATATGTATAACATATGCCTATATGTATATATGTGTGTGTGTGTGTACATACACACATGTTTATATGTGTATATATGTATATGTATATATTTACTTATCTATTCATATGTATAAGCTTATATAGGCATATGTGTGTGTGGCCTACATATACATAATATAACACATACATGTGTGTGTGTTAAGGTATGTATAATCTATATATATAATATATATATTCTATATATATATATATATATATATATATATATATATTATATATATATATATATATATATATATATATATATATATATATATATATATATATACATATATGTGTCGTGTGTATGTGCATGTATGTATGCATGTATGTATATATATAATATATATATATAATATATATATATATATATATATATATATATATATATATATGTATTTATTATTTATTTATGTACGTATGTATATGAGTATGTACATGTATTTGCATGTGTGTGTGCCTGAGTGTGCGCGTGTGCTACTCTGTGGAGTCTGCGAGAATTTAAGGTAGATATACAATGTAGCTGTAAATAGCAATAGTAGTGTGTCTACATGAAGAAAATTGTGTTTTAAGATGAAATGAAATGTGTTAGGCGCCTGAAAGTGGAAACTAGTTTTTGCAAAGTTTCATTCTTTTGGTAATAACCATCTTAATCAGTATGTGTGTATATCTGGTGGAAAGACAAACATGGAGAGATTAAAATGAAGACATCTAGAAGTTTCGTAAATAAGAATGTCGCCGAAGATTACCAAATGAACTTCAAGATAAGGTATCGCGGTGGGAGGAAGCCCAGGCACAACCTCAGGATTAAGCAAGTGCGTCATGACCTGTCTTGACCCGAGGAATCGTCCTGACGTCATCTTGGGGGAGGAGTTTAGCTTCCGCCTGAGGTATAAAAGGAGGAGGAATTGCCAACTTCATCACTCGAAATCGAAGAAAATGGCTTTGAAGGTTAGTTGCTTCTACACTGCGAAATGGCTATCAAATTTCTGTTTACATTACATTCTCTACCTCTTTAGATACTAATTTTGGAAAACTTATTCAGATGGTTGGCTGGTGATAAAGAATGCCT